TGGTTGTTTATAGGTTGGATACTGTTACTTTTGACAGGTGGAGACAATAATATCTACCATATGAGTAAAACCATTAACAAACCAGATTATTTTGGGTTTAGTTATGAAAGTTTGATGTTTCTTCTTTTTCATCTTGGTCAATCAAAGCTTAGTAATTTCTTCTGAGCCTGGTTATATTCCACTTCATTCATGAAGCTTTTCTTTCTTGCAAGATTTCTCCGTATTAAATTTTATAGAATGTTTCATCAATTAAACTTGTTTTATTTGACCAAATACTTTTATGTATATACATTTACATATAAATATATTTAGGTACACATATAAACTGTACACCAAATATATGCACATATATACATATATACATATGTATATATGTGTGTGTGTGTGTGTGTGTGTGTATCTAAATACCTATAGATCCAGGCATAGCCTACACAGTAAAATGTATGTTGTTTTTGAAGCGTGCATAAATGAACAAATTTCTTTTTGTATTAAATAGTGTTTAAGAAATTTCATATCTCCATTTGATCTCTAACTCGATTTTGACCTTCATAGAAACCTATCTAATTGTATTAGAAAAATGCAGTTTATTGATGAATGGGGATTATTTAATACTATTTTAATGATCAGAACACATGAGACTTCCAAAACATTTTTCCAAAATATGGCAGACATTCAATAAAGAATTATTAGGGAAGGAAGTAAACATATACACATACATACATACATATATATACTTGCATTTGAAAACTAGAAATTCTATTCATCCTTCATTTCCCATTTACCCGCTGTTAATATAATTGTGAGATGTTAGACTTTTGCCATTATAACTGTCTGCCACATATTCTATAGGTATCTTAAATACAAATACTTATTTAAAGCAAACTTTTCACATCATCATAATAGTAGTCACAAATTTGAATGTCAGTTGAGTCTAATCTTTACCAAGCATTGAACTCTAATGTGTCTTTGTAATCATTACTGTTTGTAGATTAGAAACATTTGTAGAGTGCAGTTCACATTTCGGATATAAATAAATACAAGTTCCAAATAGTACTGATTTTATTCACTCATACATCTTAAAGTAGAAGTGATCAATAATCAGTTTATCTCTCTTTGCCTGGCATTCTAAGGCATGATGTGTCTTTGCAAACAATGAAAAAACTGTATGTAGTCTGCTCTTCACAAATGAGAAAAATATTTTGCATGGAGAATTGCTTCACAGTTTTTAGGAGTTTTCTGATTATAATAAGCAATTTAAATCTACATTCTAGGAAGTGTCTTACACACATTCAGAGAGGGACTTTTAGGCAAAGTATTTGCAAGCTGCCATGATCCTCATGCACCCAACTTAAAAGACAGTTGGTAGGCCAGTATTCTTTTCACTGAGAAGTTGTTTTTTAAAGGTGGCTCTTTCCCCATAAAAATTTGCCAAAAAGTTTGTCTCCTTCATAAATTGGGGAATTAGGCTTATTTATATTTTTTACATAGGTCACATTTTTTGTGATAGAAAAACACATTTTTTTCATAAAGTTAATGAAAATATTGTATCAACTACATCAAATTTTAAATGTGAATTTACCCATATTTATAAATTAAAACTTAGTTGTGTTTCAGCTAAGTTATGACAACTTTTTTATTATGATATACCATTAGCTATGCTTTAATACTGGATACCACCTTAAATACTTAAATATTTATAATTATGTATTATAGTGATTATATCTACATGTTGATATAATACTACCTACATTGTCTAAACATTTTTCTAACTCAAATACTGGCATTCATACTCTAACAGAAGGTAGTTTGTAATATATTTGATCATAATCATACTCAAATAACTTCTAAATTTATTAAAAGCATGTACTTGACTTAAAAACAAGTGACTGATGATAAATACAAAGGATAACTTACTTTCTTTATATTGCCATAGCTGTGATACTACAATATAAAAAGCAAAGAAATCTGAAATGAAAATTTCTATATTAAGGAACTTGATGAATATACTAAATAAATGAAAATGAATACTTGTGATAAAGTAATTAGAAAAATATATCTAAGTAGCTAGGCATAGCAATAGAAAGCTTCCATATCAAACTACATAGTACAAGTTCAAACCTGTTTTCTTGTACTATTTTCTCCCTACACCTCCACTGTTGTGTGGCACTTTAGATTCTTCCATCCCTTGTAGAAACCACTAATTCTACAGAGGGATGCTAGCTTATGCTCTGCAAATGCACACTGGAAAGCAGGTTTTAAGATGCAACATTCTCCAGGCCTAATTCAGCCACTGAAAACATGCCTGCTGTAGCAGAAGCCTGGCGCAATGCTGTGGAAGCTGCACGCTGAGCCAAGAACCATGTTCGTTCTCAAAGACGTGGTGTCAGCACATGAGGTCGTCAAGTAGGGTAAATACAAGTATCGCCCATAAGAAATGACAGAATCAGCATCCGAAAGACTGCGCAACAATTTTTTCCTCTAATAGCAAGAACTTATAGAGAAATTCCCCTTTATGGCAAATAATGGCTCTTGATTTTTATCCAATTAAATAATGACATTTAACTTTCAGAGAGAGAATGTTAGCAACTGGCCTACTTCCACTGACATGCGCTCACATTTCATTTATTTTCAGTCAGCTATCAAATGTTTGACTCTCACAAACTGCTGTATGACTCAAGAGGCAAAATAAAAGATTCAGCCATTACAGAATGCTTTTAAAAACTAGATGTTTTTCTCACAACTGCTGGATTTTTATCTTGAGTGAGATCTTTTGATTATACATGCTGTTAGGGCCTTAGTCTGATCGTTTGGATTTGCATGTCCATATCTTGACTTACTTAACTGCAAGAACAAGGTGGCCTCACCTCAAGGCCACTGGGCTATGTCTCCATGGAAGGAAAAGCTAACTTAAAACCAATGGCCTTTCTCCGTTGACCCACTTATTGAAAGGTTAAAAGTATGCACCTTCTTTGTATGGTTTGTGTCAACATGTTTTTAATGTGTGACACCTCCGGTGCTCCTTTTTGTTAAAAATAGCCTCAATAAGAACATGATATGTGAAACTGAAAATAATTACATTGTAATTGAAGAGATAAAGGGGCATCAAGTAGGTAAAAGGAAAAGCTGATTTATCTTGAGAAGAGACACAAACATTTCCATCTAAATTAGCTTTCACTGGGTCTTATTTTAGCAATATACTAAAACACCAAAACAATTGTGTAACTGAAACTGAAGACAATCCCACTCTTTAGTCAGATATTATTTTTCACCAAAAATCATAGAATCTGCTATTCTTCAAGAACTTACTACTTCTACTTTATAATGGTCCTCACAAAAGTCTCACTGTGACTGAGATTCTAGCGAGCAAAATGATATTACAGTAGAAAATCATGTTAAGAAAGTTAACTAAAACTGGTTAATCTGCAAGCCTGTAGTAATCCTGTGAGGGAGCTTTACTTCTCATAAAACTCTAATAATCAAAATTAGGGCATTTCCTAAGTCTGTTTTTTGCCTGCTCTTTTTGGTGGAACATTTAGGGAGAAATTAATGTAAATTAAGAAAATTCTTTTTAAAAATGAGTACACTGGGCTAATAACTTATGCAATGAACTTTTCCTACCTCATATCAAATGCTTTCCTTCAGTTAATTTACAATGATCACTTAGAGCTTTGCAGATACATGACTTAACACTTTTTCTAAACTCCATGAAAAATCCAAGATATGTTGGTGCCCAAATGCATACAGACTATGGCCCTTCTTATCCAAAAACTCATGATCACCTAACTTTTTTTAAACAGAGTCTTTCCCAAAAGACATGAAAGCAAACATTTCCATCTGGAGCACATGAATTGGATGGGCTGAAAATTATATTCATGAATCTGAATATAATGATTTTAAAATGACAGCACTATCAAAACAAAAAAACAAACAATAGCAACCAAAACCCCCACCAAACCCTGTAAAGCTCATTTTGGTAATTCACTTTACTTATAAAGGCTGAATCAAGAACAAAAAGTTGTGGCTTTATCTTAATGAAATAAAAGCAGAGAAATAAAAAAAAAATCATGCTCTCCTAAGTTCTTGATGCTATAGAACTTTAAACATTATTGTGTTTTGAAATAGATCTAACTCCTATAGAGCATGCAGTTACTGCTTTCAAAAGTTGAGGAGACTAAACTGGGAAATGATTAGCAGAATCAGATATGAGGTCGGGACTGCCCGTCTCTCCTGACCATGCGGTGATGTATCACACGATTCAGCAGAGAGCAGCTGTGCTGGTCTGGCACTTCCTTGCCACGGCAGGGGAAGGACCATAGCTGAATAGCATGCAGGCCAGTCAAATCTCATTTAGAAAGTGATTGTACATGTGCAACTTGCTTGGGTAACCTGGGTAAAAGTGGTCACGTGAGCCTCTGGCTGGTTAAAAAACACCAGAGCTGCATTCTTGAAGGCTCCAGCTTGATTTTACTCCTGTGAGAAGTAAGAATGGTAAGTAGTGAAGGTCACAGTATGATATTGGTAGACTATGTTTGGAATTCAACTTCAAGTATTCTTAAAAGCATTTATTCTATATCCTTCACCTAGGAAAACAAACCTTTTAAGAACTAAACTGGAAAAAATCCATAGCTATAGAAAAAGTTCCAGAAATGATGATTAGGTAAACTTTAAAAATACAAACAAAAATTTGCATTCTATCTTGTCACAAGATTTGTATCCCAAGTTTTAAACTAAAAACATCACTATGTTGAAAGCCATACTTTCACTTCTAATTGTTTTCATGCAGAGCTTTGTACTTTTTTCCATATCAACTTGTTATATAAGTGAATTACTTATATGGACAGAACAGATAAATATGTCTATAGTATATATTATATACACTATATTAAAGTAGCATAAACACAGATAAATCCAGCAACTGTATTAATAAAAGGATTTCTAGGTATCTTTTCTCTTCAACAGCACTACAGTCAGATATGTTTTACTATGAAAATCAAAGGAAAGAGTGGGATAGCAGGAGTTTTCAAGTACTATTTAAATTAATGATTAATTTACAGTCTCTACTGAAAGTAGAGATTTAACTGTGAATATCCTTTATTTTAGGTAAAAATAGTATCAGTTTGGCTTAGCTTTTATGATTCTTCACATTATCAGCAAAGAGAAAAGTTATTCTGTGCTCTCCAGATCAGTGTTCTTTTGCTACTTGTAAAAAAAAAAAAACACAACTAGGGAGAGTGAATCAAAATGCCACTTTATGTATCTGTTATTTTTAATTTGTGCACGTGTATGTGCAGTATTTATTTAAAAAAGAATACCCCAGCCAACAGAAGTATGCAACTGAAATATGGCCTATGTTTTATGTTAGAGGTTTTCAGATATTTCAAACCTAAACCTCATTTTGCCAGAATTTTTCTAAAACTGTTCTGTAATGCTCAACACACTGATTTTTGCTTTTTACTAAAAGTACTTTGCACTTTAATTCTTTGTATGAGCATATACTATTACTTTTCCAATGTTTTTGGTAATAATTTTAACACATACTCATCCATGTAAAATTCATTCTTAATATTTCTATGCAAAATAACTTCATATGTTAGTCCAGTTTTATAAAAGTGTATGATTTCATTTGTATGTGGTTATATTTTCTCAATAAAGTAGAGTACATTTTAATGCAATTTTATTACATTCTGTAGCTGGATACCATGTACCCAAAATTAGCTTGGAAGAAGATAAGTGTTACTTTAAAAAAATCACCCAATAAGGAAGTTTTGTTTCAAAAAAAATGTTTTCCAGGAATTGACAATGAGGAATATACCATGTCTTGTTTATTCCAAATATGTTACTTTAATCATTAAAAGTGCATAATAATTGGGTAATAGTCTTCTAAGCAGTCATTTCAAATATCTGTGGACATTACAGATACTTTTAACTATCATGAAAGTCACCTGTTTGACAAAAAGAAATTAACATATGAACTTCCATAGGTCCAGTGTGCTATAATCTATGATATCAAGGTGCCAAAAGTTTCTCTACTTCTTTGAATTTTCTTTCTATTAATCCCAAGTTATTCATCCTATTTCCCCCTAAACTTCCCTATTTTTCTTTATAATTACTTGTTTGGCAAGTGCCTCTATTTTCAAGGAACCAGATCATTGTGAAATCTGAATTATGAAACCAATTTTAAAACCCTAACCTTGCACCCAGAGCCTGTTTCTCAGTACCATTGCTTTAATTCATATTACTTAGTTAAGTTTCTCCTCTTAACCACATAAACCTGGTCCTTGTTGTAAAAAAGGTAATTTCAGATAATGGTATTATCACTTTTCCAATTTCCAAGATTCTTAACTTTGTCAAGTTGCCATTTAGTATCTGTTCCCATTATTTATTACCTTATTTATTAAGGTACTTATAATATCAAAAATTTCATCACCATATCGGTAGCAAATGACTTATTGTGTTTCAAAGAAAATGATCCTTATACCTGACTATGAACTCTTCTGTGTGTTGATAGCAAATAAATTATCCTAAAACATCACTTTCTAACTGCCTTGATTCAGAAAAAAACCAAAACCAAAACCAAAAAACACCTCCATATTGATTATGCTCTCAATTCCAAATGACTGCAAAATGGCTTAGATGTTCAAGCATGTTTCCACCATCTTCTTAACCAATACTTTGTTCATGTTCATTGTCTCACTGCCTAACCTTAAAGTTTAAAGTTAACCCTCAACTCTGGCTTTCATTTAGTAACTTCTACTTTTTACTTTCTGTTCATATATTTGACTCAAACTTTGATAACTATTTCAGTTATCTTTTTCACTTGGCAATTTGCCATGTTCTTATGGTTCTCAATACCTGTAACCTTATATTCATTCTCATAGGATTAAAGTCTTTAAAGGTCTTTAATAATTTGTCAGGTAGTGTTAGCTTCCCCAGAGATGTTAGATTTCCCTGAAGGGGTTATGTTATCAAGTTGACCTTTAACTCTTATGTTTAGCATCAGTATTACAGTGTTGAACAACAGTATGAGCAAAATGTAACTTAGAAAGAATTGCATTAAGACTTTCACTGGAATTCTGAGAAAGGATATAATACTTCACCTTGTATGTACTTTAACTTTTTTTTCAAAATATTTAAAAATTTACTAATATATCTCAACAACTTTAAAATACGGGAAAAAAGGATCAGGAGGCAATGCATGGGAACATTGTCAACTATTTATTATTGATGGTAAATTCTGTTGATGTCACTATATAAAAAGAATGTTCCAAATTATGCTCACAAAATCAGATATCGTTGATCTGATTCCTATGATGTCTACATTATACCCTCAAGTTAAAGTATGTCTTCGAAAGTATTCAGAACTATTCTCCCGCTGGGGTTACTTCCCACTGGTATGTTAGAAATCCATAAATAAATAACAGTAAAAACTGTAATCCTATTCTCCACAATACAGAATTGCAGAATCAATACTACTAAACTACTGCAATGGGGTACTATGAATTCTAATCATTGTAGGAACAATGTGCTTTCCTTTTTCTATTCTTTCAAACACCTAGCAATGTAACAGTAAGAGTAGTCTTTAGTCTACAGTTTAAAAAGCTATAATCCTCATGTGAAGCTTCTTTATGTAGTTCTTAGCATTTTCAAGTTAATATGAAGACCTCATAAATTTGCTCACCTTTGACTAAGCAAACTATAATCAGTGCTACTTGCATTTTTCTAATATAACACTTTCAGAAATTAATAACACTATCCCAGTCAATAAAACTTTCAGATGTGAACAAAAACATGAAATTTTCACACTATAAAGATCTTAGCAAAAGTCTGTATTATACAAAGTAAAGAGATGACACTTTCACAGTAATCAATAAAATATCATTCACTGTTTTTTCTAACGAGGGTAATATATTGTATAATAGAATTTACTAAATAACATCCCTTTCCTGAACATTCGTGTTTTTTAAGCAGACTTTTAAACTATTGAGAAGGGAAATACATTAATTATTCAGAATGCTAATTTCTATGGAAAGTTAGAATTCTTATGAATTTTCAATAAGGAATATTTCATAATTTTTCAGCATTACCATCTATGCAACTTTCTTCATACTTTTTAACAATGCATATAACCACAATAAAAATACTAAATAACTACAGTGTGTTGTTAAAAACATGCTTACCTCTTTGCTTTCTTCTAGTTCTGATTCACTGCTGAACTCTTCAGTATTTAAGTTTTCAAAGTCAGACTCTCCAACGGCAATTGGCACTGTTACAGTGAGGCTGGGGTTGTTTATGAATGACATGTAATCATTTTCATCGATTACGTATTTTTCAACACTGCTCCCAGTACCTACACCACTGGTGGTTCCATTTCCATCTTTAAGATAATTAAGCTCTTTGCTTATTTCAATTCCAGTATTATTCGATATGCAGCTGTCTATTTTGTTGCCTTCATGAATTTCTATAACTTTTGGTTTTCTAAAAAAGGTTGTTCGGAAACATTCCCGTATCTTACTTTTCACATAATCAATTCCCTTTTGCATCCTTCCTACTGCTATTTGGAGATTGTTCATTTCATTATCATCATCGGTAGCAGCAAGATTGTCTGAGCTAAATGAACTCAACAATAAGGCCAGAAAGAGGTTCAGTACCTAGAAGAAATAAAGCAAGTTTGCTACATTACTACTGAAGTAGGAATAAAATTAATAACCTAAACAGGACACTCACAGATCTTTGTTATAATAAAACAACTGCTTCTTAAATGCTCTCTATATCTTGCATACCATGTCTTAATCCCACACCATTTAAAGGATTTGATATCTTCTACATGCTCTGAGGACAAGTGGTAAAATCAGTACCTTTTCTTTCCTACGTAGGTGGTCAATCAGAAGCCACAGCTTCTAATATTTAAATTGTGTCTACAAAGGATTGCTACCGAAAAGGTGAAATCCCATTTGTATTGTTTTGGGTAAGGAAAAAGGATATATTCATTTAAAAAGTACACTTCCTTTTGTCCAGGGAATATCTAGCTTTGCTTATGTGGACAGTGAATTAATTTAACAATTACCTGACAATATATGTTAAATTTATATACTTAAAATTCCTTTTTCCAGTGGCCATAGAATGTTTATAAGAACTGTCATTTCTAAATGCAGATTATATAAGGACTAACACATTTCCCACCATATACATTGAAACTGTGTTGAAATAGTTCAACAGATGGAGAAAAATCTAAAATTATTGCAAGGTTTAGACTAAACCTATCTAATATAAATTACTTTTCTTTTTTCCCTCTTTGTGAAGACAATATAAGAAAATATTAAATCCCAGAATATCAATAGGATACATGGGGGGAAATTAACCAGTTTACTGATAAAATATGATTAATGTAGAGATAATTCATTATAGCTATTGTAAGAGAAAATTTATAGGAATAGATTAACAAGAAATGTACTTTTTAAATCTCAGAATAGATTATGTGGGGAGAAGACATAGGCAAAACAAAAATTCCAATTTATTTCCTTATTTATGTTTCAAATTTTGTTTGGAATCTAAGAGCTTTCCAATTTACTAATCTGAAAGTCATTGCAGTTCATCGGTATCTATTAAATACTTCTAAGCAACCTCATGTAAAATGTAGTTTATTCTTCAAAGGAATTGTCTAGGTGATAGCATCAAGAAACCCTTTGTTCATACATGGCTGAGAAATTTAAACACTCATTAATTCCAGCTCTGTACACTTACATTAATGATTTTAAATAAGGTCTAACACAAAACCTCTAAATCTGGTCAATGTCCATCTATCTGAATAACTTAAGGTGCAATAATTTATTTTCCTCCTGCAAAGCAAATTTAGGGGAAAATAGATTCAACCCCCTTTGATATTACCACCCATAACTAAGCTCTAATATTTAATTTTGTTGAATTTGTTTACAAAATGTGTTTATATATGTGACTTATGGTTCTAAGTAAGATTACAAAATGAACTACGAATGTGTAAAGATCATTCGATGTAGTGTATGTAACTGCAATTATAAGTTCAGTGGAGATCATTACTCGGATAAAGTAATATTAGGGTACAATTAGCCTTGATGAAAACATTTCTTTGTAGAGAAAAAAATATATTTTTGTCCTCCAACTTTCACAGATATATTTCACTTAATACCCTCATCAAGCTCAAAGTGCCCATTTTGTTTGTCTGGTATCATAGCTGGGGAAACCAAGCCTTAGATAACTTGTTCCTGTTTGGAATATTAGTACTAGAATATTAAATGCATCCCTTGTTGTATCTACAGTATCAGGCTGCCTTCCTAGCTACTGACTCATCTTACTCTTAGTTATGATTTTTCTTAAAGATTTATTTATTCATACACAATTGGGGTACAGGCCAGAGGCACGGGGGTTGGTGAGAGAATTCACCAGAGACAGAATGGGGAGCAGAACAGGCCAACTAAGGAAGTACACTGCTGAGGGGAGCAGCAAGCTAGTCAGGAGAGGTCTGCTGCACGATGTGGATCACTTCTGGGTTTGGGATCTAACTCACACTGAGCAGCTACTGCTGGCTTGCAATGCTATGCTTTAACCCACTGCACCACCAGGGAGGGCCTAGTTATGATTTTTAATACATACGTACCACTAGGTTTCCAATCACCATGACCATCATGAAGACAGTAAGGCACATGGTTTGCCCAGCGACCTCCATGCAGTCCCACATGGTCTCTATCCACTCTCCACACAGCACACGGAACACAATCAGGAAGGAGTGGAAGAAGTCGTGCATGTGCCAGCGCGGGAGTTCACAGTCACTGGAGATCTTGCAGACACATTCTTTGTAGCTCTTTCCAAACAGTTGCATGCCGACCACGGCAAAAATGAAGACAATGATGGCCAACACCAAGGTGAGGTTACCCAGAGCTCCCACAGAATTGCCGATGATCTTAATTAGCATATTTAAAGTAGGCCATGATTTTGCCAACTTAAAAACTCGAAGCTGTAATGAAATGAAAAGATACTCTTAGTAGTAATCGTAATGCAATTTTGGAAGTTAGCTAGGTATTATATTATCAGCATGCCATATAGTAGAACCGCCTCTCAGAGATATAAAATGTAAAGCCATATTAATCAAATTCAAATGCAGAAAAACCTTATTAATAACATTGGACTTATGAATCAAATCATAATATCATTTAAGTGTAAAAATAAAAAGACAAAACATTACAGAGTAAGCGAAATATATCTGGCTCATCAGCAGCAGAAGGAGCATAATTAAAGCAAATCAATATTTTGTTAGCGACATTGTGAATTTAGCAAATTAATGTCATTCTTATATTTTCGAAAGTGAAAGGAAACATCAGAGGTATGATTATTTCTAGTGGGCATTTAGAAAGTTAAAATAAACCATTTGGATAAAGACAGATGTATTTCAATTTCAAAAAATAGTATTTTACCTAATTCCCAATAAAACGACCTATTTTTCATAAATTTTTTTGCTATAATTCAAAATTTATATTATGCTATTATTTAAAATGTTTATGACATCAAATATTTTCTCACATTTAACTTCAAAATAATTCCTAAAAATACAAGTTTGATAAAGAGCTAAGGTAAGTTGGGGCCTGAACCTGTAATTTACATTTCTTTATATACTTTTAAAAAAACAAAAATTAGAATATGATTTTAGAATCATGTTTTTTAAAATACAGCCTACATAGCTAATCACTATGAAGTTTTCAATTATATTTGTCATTGCTGGAATCTAGTTTATACTTAAGGAAAAAATTTATATACATGTTGCTGTAAATTTAGATGTTGTTAAACTTCATATCTGTATTAATATAGATTCAGTTTCACAATAAACATTATGCCAGTGAGGTCAGAAACATAGTCTATGCAGATACCAGTCTGAATGACCGAAGTACAGATAATCCTTCTACATTTGCCAAGCCAAGCTCCATCAAACTGAGGCTGACAATAATTCCATCAAAGATATTCCATCCTTCTTGGAAATAATAATATGGATCCATAGCAATGATCTTGAGAACCATTTCTGCTGTGAAGATCCCAGTGAAGACCTAAAGCAAAATAATTCATAAACATCGAAATACGGTTGACACTGCCAAAATTTGTAAAGATTAATATTAAAGAATCATAAGGCAAAATATCTAAAATCTAAAGGCAGGAAATGTGACACATTGATACAAATTTTGTATTTTTCAGGTGAGTATTTTAAGTGGATTTATTTAGTGAATCTCCTGGTTTTCCAGGAAAACATTGATTTTAAAATATTTCATCATCCACATTTTAAATGCAATATTAAATAATAGTTCCTAAATTATTGCCCCTTTTTATTGGTACACTATGCTTATACAGTAATCACAACTTTTTTTTTTAGTATTATTGCATGAAGAACAAAATTGATAATTAGAAGTTAATAAAAGTATTTTAAATTTGGTCAAATCATATTTTGCCCTTTTTTTCCTACTCTTTTTAAGGACACCATCTTATTTTTATAGTTGTTTGAACATTCTTGAAACAAGAGTGAGTCTGCCACAGATGTTTTATAATGATATCTGGATACATGACTGATAATTAAGCTTCATGTATTAACAGACCAAAGAATTGAAGATTTACTTAAAAACAGTAGTGGAGAGAAGAGACATTCTCAGTGTGCATACATGCTGAGTCAAATTATTTGACCGGTCAATAAGACAAACTTAAATTTGCTTAACTCAAAACCACAAGCTAAGAGACTCAAAAACATGAAGAGTTATGAAATTACTCTTGCAAAATGTTTTAAAACAGTTCTCTTAACTGTGGGTAAAAGCTGCAATTTATGACTGAATGTCTGACTTACTATTTATTAAAGTAAGTCAACATTTACCTTGAAGCAGCTCTGTCAGAATAACATTGTTAAAGTTACTTGACTTTCTAAAGCATCAAATTAATTAAATCTTGATCCACCTAACATCTAGTATAGCTAACATCTAAGTTTCCTATCACAGAAAGATTTAAGGTAAATACTCATCCAAGAACAAAAACAAACTAACGAAACAAAACTGTTGTTCATTAATAAAATACATTTTAAGCAAGCCTAGTACATGAAAATGGAGATATATGGTGGCATGCATATTGAAGAATGGTGTTTTTCTTTTTATGGAATGACTTGGGATATTTTTGTCCCTGGTGAATGTAAAATGAGTTGTGATTTATACAATTTTAGTCTTATACAAAAGTTTCAAAAGCAGTTACTATTTCCTATAGGCAACCCAATGATAAAAATATAATAGTTAAGCTGAAAAATTATCCAGGCAAAAGATTTACAAATTATCTATTCCTATGAAAAATCGCAAGGCAGTATTTTCAATTCTTCTGAAGTAATTAAATATGTGTCATGAAATCTATTCCTTAAACTTACACTTTCATCTAAAATTTAAACCTAACATGAAAATTTTCTAAAAATAACTTTCTAATTACAATTTTCAGCTAAAAAATCCTATCACACTAAATTTTTTTTTTAAGTTTTGTCCCTAAAGATCATTGTTATTGGCTGGTACATTTTAGTCTAAGGTTAACATTATCATTGATTAAGCATTTAGAACATGTCATTCTAGCTAAGGGCAAACCAGCATACTGGTTTTGCTGCTGTGTGTACAGAACTTAAAAACTCTATCAAAAAATGCTAAGAATAAAAAGAA